AAATAAAAAATATAATTATAATGAAGAGTAAGAACTTTTAAATTTTAATATAACTAGAACAAAATATTCAGTAATTAAAAATTTTGATAGGAATTAAAAATTTGCTCGAGTATAAATGTTGTGCTTGTTTTTAAGTGGTTTCGATTTACTTTAGGTTTGTTCCAACAATGCTCAGAAATGAGTTACTGACATCAGGATTCTGCACAGTAGTTTATTGAGACTGCAAAATTGTGTACTACCCAGTGGTTTGTTTCTGATCGTTGGAACAGACCTTTTATTCAATAAATAATCGAACAAGTTAAATGTGTATTTGGAATTTTTTTAATTTTACAAATCTGGAGCTTGAATATGGATTTTCAAATGATGCACTTTTTGTAGTTTTTAATAATGCTTATTTTTTTTTTAGTTTCTTGTTCATTTAATAAAGATGCTTTTTTGTATATGGGGTGATAATTTTTAAGCAGAGGCGTGCAGCACCCACAAGATCACTGCCAGAATTAATTCAAATGGGTAATCTAAAAATATGGAGTAGGTTCCCTGCACAAGATTTTCAAGAACTTGTAAATACAATGTTTTAATGAATTATTGCCGTTATCAAAGTTAAAGGTGATGAAACACTCATGAAAATTTGTAAATATTTAACCCTTTCAGTGTATTTGTCCCTCCAGAGGGACACTCTTAATTAACCCTGAAGTATAAATCTGTTAATTTTGGTAGAATTTTTTTCTTTTTGGTTTATTTACTTTATTTTCATTACTTTTAAGGATTAATATTATAAAAAAATTATTTTCATAGTAAATTTTTGTTTTTGTAATGTCCCTGAACAGGGACGTTATGTCTTGGAGTAATAAAAAATACTATGAAAATATTTTAATTTACTTAAAATAAACAAAGAAAACATACAATCTACTACAATGGTATTTTTTTTAATGAAAGTGGAAGTGAAAGGGTTAAAAAAATAAAAGAATTTATCAGATTTATGTATGATTTGTTCTTGTAGTGACAGTCACTATAAATATGAGAAGTGTGCTAATTGAAATGGGACAGGGCTCATATAGTTTTATTTAAAAAGTAAACCTTGTCATTAATCAAATATAAATGATTATTATATTATTGAAATATATAATGTAAAACAAATTGTTGTAATGTTTTTCTGAAATCAGAAGTGTTGCCAGGTTTGTTACTGTCTGCTGCTGTGACGTGTACAAGCGAACATAATAAACCTACTTATTGAGTACATTAATATAAAAAACTCATAATAAATCTGGAAACTATACATTTGAAATTTTCCTACTTATTTTTTCATTACTGCTATTACCCAATAGAACAATTCCTATGCTTTTATTTAATATTTCATTTTATACAAATAAATATAAAAAAATAATTAGTAAAATTATAAAATTAGTTCCAATTAAATAATGAACTATATTATTAATTGAAATTGTTAATATAAGAAATGAATAAATTAAGAAAATAAAAGTGTAATAATGGGAAATGTGTAAATTGTATTTATTTCTAATTTTAAATAATTTTGTGTGTATTGTTAATTTTCTTTCTAGTGTAAAATTAATAATTTTAACAAAAATTTAATGAGATGTTTTATTTGTGTTAGAATCCGAATACAATAAGAATGCTGCTGTCATAATGATTACTCTGAATTTCAAATACATAAGGTTTGTTCGGGTTTCTTTAAAACTCGATGCAAACCGTCCGAGAACCAGTGGAACAGTTGAATTCCAAATTATTCGTCGCGTACAACTATTAAACTGTCCACTGGTCAACTAGTTCTCTGATAGTTCTAAAGGTATTTTTGAAGAACCCGAACAGACCTATAGTATCTATAACTTATCAATAAATAAATATTAAGTTGTTAGGTATAAAAAAATATTTCCTATATTCCTAAAAGATTAACACTTCACCTCCAGTGGATAACTTCGATAACTGTATCAGCAATACTTTCCACATTCTCGTCTCCTTTGAGAAGTAGTCCCATCATAAGTAATAAAAGCAGGAACAGCATTTTTTAGGTAGTTTTTTTTTATATTTGCACTGCACATTAAATAATGGTAATCTTATAATTGAAGGGTCTGGAAATGCACCATTCTTGTTCCGGCTAGTTCTCATAGTTGGAATCGTAACATATAGTTGCAAGGTTATATTTAATTATTTGGAACCAGGGAATAAGCATATTGAAATAACTTTTACTTTTTATCATGTATTTACCAATTTTTTCATCGATTAAAAATAAAAAAATCTGTAGATTTTCAAGTAATAGGATCGTTATTTTTAACTTCAAATTTGTGTCAAATTCTAGACTTCATTCAGTGCGGAATGGTGTGAATATGTGGATTTCTAGACTCGTCAACTACAAGATACCTAACCTTAAATAATTATTAGGTACATCAGAAAAAACATTGTTTAAATTATTAACCAGTGTATGTACAAATTATTCAATACACAAATACCAACATCTACGACCCCAAACTACATTTATTTACTTAAAGGGATTAACTCCTATAAAAATACAGAATTGAAAAATCTTAAATATTTCTTACAACTCAAATTTGTATTAATTTAAAATCAGTACTTCTATAAAAACCTAGTAAATACATTTAAAGAACTGGAACAAAACACATTCAAGGATGATTATTATTAAACAAATGTATATTTAAACACTTGAAAATAAAAAGGCTACAAGTAAAATAAATTTATCATAGTATCTATTTGATTCTTATAACCAGATACAACTTTCTAGCATTATAATCAGGCTAAAAGGAATAAGTCAAAGATTTTATTTATTCACAGGGTCAGAAAAATATCAAAAGAAATAGGTACCTTGTGTATATGAAATTTATACCATGAACACATTATAATAGGGTCCAAGTCATAACATTATTAGTACCAAGGGGACAGGATAAATAATACGAAATATTTATATAGTAAAACTTTATACTAATAATTATTTTTATTACAGAAAAGACAAAGTTGAATAACCTATTTACATAACCTACAATCATTTAAAAGGTAGACATTAAACATATTTACTTGAAAAATAACGTTTCCTAGTAGATTTCTTAGCACTTTTTCACGGATAACATAATTTACATTAAAATGTTTTTCACAAATGGAACTTTTGGGTTTAATGTTTATTTCCATACCACCTAAATTGCACCATATTCTGTATAACTGTTTTTTGGCATTATAAAACTGCTATCAATATGTTGAAGACTCTCTCCCATAATCACAATTAAAAACAGCTCAACGATCCACCATGATTTATATATTTTTAGATTTTAAAAAATATTTATCTGTCAACACTTTTCAAATTGCAGCTCCTACCACCTTCATCTTTTATTTACTTTCTCGCCGGATAGATACTAGCGAACCTAGCGGATTTTAGCTAGGAAGTACGATCGGTTTTATCGCCGTTTTCATTTGTTTTTAAATAGGAGTTGATACACCTTATAGTACACCGTGGTATAAACTTCTAACATGTCATTGACATTTTATCACGTGACCAAATAAAGTCTAGAGCGTTTGTTTATTACTGCTGCGTTTGAGAATCCTCATCGGATGCGTTTTTTACATCTCGAGCGTTTTTTTATCCACATCTGACATATCTGTCCCATTACATTTACGTATACTGAATCACGTGATCAAAGATTTACTACATCTCAGATGCATCCGATGTGGATTTTCAAACGCGGCATTATAGGTGCGTTTTAATCATCCGCTTCTGCTTCGGAATTGTCGGTTTTCTTGTTTTAATCTGACAGGTTAAAACGACTAAACCAACAATTCCGGAAGCAGAAGCGGATGATTAAAACGCACCTGATATTTTGCTTGCTGGGGTGCTATTTTCAAAGTCGAGAGAATTCATTTCTCTCGAGAGAAATACGTCAACGTAAATCAGTATTTTTAGGGTCCTAAGGGCCAGTGTAAACTCACTGATTGTTTCTCACGGTTTATTTAGAGATAATTAATATCCTCCTAAGAATTTTAATCCTCGAGGCCTTTAAAAACAGCGTTTCCACATTGACGTATGACATTTCTGATGAGAATCTTGAGAGAAATGAGTACTCACACGGTTTGAAAATAGGTCCCCTGGGGGGCTATTTTCAAACTCGAGAGAATTCATTTCTCTCAAGAGAAATGTCATACGTCAACGTAAAACCGTATTTTTAGGGCTCTTAGGGCCAGTGTGAACTCACTGACTGTTTCTCTCGGTTTATTTAGAGAGAATTAAAATCTTCCTAAGAATTTTAATCCTCGATGCCTTTAAAAACAACATTTCCACATTGACGTATGACATTTCTGATGAGAATCTTGAGAGAAATGAGTACTCACACAGGTCCCCTGGGTAGCTATTCTTGAATTCGAGGGAATAGAAAACCGGTTTTGCCTCTTTATCTGCAACGCGCAAAATTTGTATTTTTGTCTCATTCTTCCCTCAAAATTTCTACTCCCTGAGATTCAAGAATAGATACCCTGGGGACCTATTTTCAAACCGTGTGAGTACTCATTTCTCTCAAGATTCTCATCAGAAATGTCATACGTCAATGTGGAAACGCTGTTTTTAAAGGCCTCGAGGATTAAAATTCTTAGGAGGATATTAATTATCTCTAAATAAACCGTGAGAAACAATCAGTGAGTTTACACTGGCCCTTAGGACCCTAAAAATACTGATTTACGTTGACGTATGACATTTCTCTCGAGAGAAATGAATTCTCTCGACTTTGAAAATAGCACCCCTGGAGTGGGGTGTGAGTGGGGTAGAATGCGTGTCAAAAGGCATGTGATGCGACTCTATGGGCAAAGACAGGTTATTTTTCATCTCACTCGGGAGTATTTCCACCAGCGTGTGGATTGAACAATAACAATGTGAAACAGAAAATGGTTATTATAAATACTCCCGAGTGAGATGAGAAATAAAAATGGCTGCGCCCATAGAGTCGTAGCTTGTTCAATTGATAAAATATGCACATTAGCTTTCTACCCCACTCCAGTTCATTGTATCTATGACCTTAATTTGATTATTTTCATATTCCACCCTGCTCCGAACAAATTAAAAGTACCAAGTCATTCTGACGTCTGACATTTCAAATTTGTCAGTGTCAAGTTTGCACGTCACGTTTTATGTCTTCTTTTCACGTTTTAATTGATAATTGTTGTGGCCATTTTGGTATCAATCTACGCTATAAAAAAGTGAAACAAGGTTTTTTAATGAAGACTGTAGATTGTAGCTTTTAATATCCAATTCGATAGTTGTTACAAAAGATAGACGAAAAGAACTGATTCAATAATAGTTGAAATTTGTTTGTCCGTAGGATAGTACATGTTTCTGTGATTATAATCAATTTTAATATTTACCTTGTTTTGAGGACAAGATGATTGAACTGACCGTGAAGACTTTAGATTCTCAAAATCATCAATTCTCAGTTGAAGATGATGTAAGTTAATAGTTTAAACTGTATCTAGATTTTTGACAGTTATAATATTAGCACACACATAACACTCCTATTTTTTGTAGATTACAGTTGAACAGTTCAAGGTAAAAATAGCAGATACTGTGAACATTCCTGCTGAAACTCAACGTATAATTTATTGTGGAAGAGTTTTACAAGATAGCTCAAAACTTGCTGATTATGGTATGTTATTTTTTAATCAATACCTATACATATCATAAAACACTTGAGATACTGTATCGGTAGTCTTGTAGTTTAGGGTCGTACTAATGCACATATCTACTCCACTTTGCACTGGTGTTTAGAATTTAAATATTACACCTATCACATTGCCATCTGCCTATCTTTGTTTTGCCGTTTTTCATTTTGAGGACAAAGAAAATATGTGTTTCACAAAAAAAATTATCTGGTTAGAATGCTGAAAATTCATCTAGTTTGCAAGTAAACATATTATCTTATGTGGGAATAGACCATAAACTATCCTCGTTATTTTTTTAATATTAAAAATTAAACTGATTAAATAAACATTCTACTAAACTGTTTAATCATTAATATCAACAAAATTCTTATAAACCAATAATTTAGATGTCCATGGTAAAGTTGTTCACTTGGTGCAAAGACCGCCACCAGGTACTGCTCCAAGAACAAATAGTAGACCTACTTCTCCTCAATCACAAAGAAGAGGTTTTAGAGGATTCAGAGGTTTGGAACAAGGTAATGCAATGTATTTGGGTTCAATGGCATTTCCTGGTAACTTGATGGAGTCTCAAGGCATTGTACCACCTCCTCCAACTCATAGTCTTTCTGGAAGTCGCTTAAATGTTGCAAGAAGGTATTTTTTCTTTATTTGTTTTTTTGACTGCAGAACTTTTTTAAATATTTTATTTTTAGAATGCTGGGTAGAGCTGAAGCAGTTATACGTCTTCTGGAAAGTCCAAATGCAAGACATCAAGATCAGCCTTTAGCTAATGAAAATCAAGAAGAAGAAGAGGAAGTTACACCAGTAATTGAAGCTAGAGTCATTGTTCCAAGTAATATTGAACCAATTGATGAAGTGCTCAATGCTGTTCAAAATACATTGTTGAATGCTTCAAATAACACAAGGTAAGTTGAAAATACTAATTTTAATATATAATACTTTGTTAATAATATTATTTATATATATAATATATGGGTAATATCCATGATTTTTAGAAATCTGAACTCAGCAAATACTAGTGGTAATTCTCAAGTAAATAGTGATACTGGATCAATTCATAGCTCAGCAGATACAACACCTACAGGTGCTACACCAAGATCATCTTCTACTGAAAACTTGAACGCAGAACAGAGACCTACTACTAATAATGGTCTCCCAGAGTAAGTAATTTCATATTTTCTTAATTTTTCTATTTTACATTAGTAATTAAAAATTTTTGCAAAAGTATATCCTGCAATTTGGAAAAATATTGTCAATCCTTTGTTTTTTTTTTACTAGTGGCATACAGTTTCACCAGTAATTCAAACCTAAATGCTCAATGCTTGACCCACTTTATGTAAAAAAGAATGAATATAATGTTTCTTTATATAATATATCAAATTTAAATTTTTACTCATAGAAATGCCTCGAGAACTGTTGAAATGTCTGACCTTTTAACCTTATTGGGACAATTACAAGTCAGGTTAGCACCGTTTTTGGAAAGATATCAGACTTTTATGAGAGATGATCCAGAAGTGCCAGCTGATGTAAGTAGATCTAAAACTATTGTATAACAACTATTTTCAATTTATCAATAAAAATCAAACACTATCTTTATTTTAGAATCAACGACAAACTCAAATAATGTTGAATAGGGTATCTGAGGTGATGCATTTTCTAGGTCATGCCTATCACTCACTTAGTGACTTGATAATCAGAGTTAGAACTCCACCACCAAGGCCATTGCTATGCCGCCCTATTCTAATTCAACACTCAGCTGTTGTTCAAACTGGCATTCCAATACAAGTTGAGGTAATTATGGTCAGTTTTTCATATGCATGCGAGGATACAGATTTTAAAGTGGGCACAACTTCAAAAAAAAGCATTATAATAAATGAATTTAAAAATTGTAACTAATTTACCTAAAATACTTAGGTATATTTATGATTATTGGTATTTATCTATTTATTAAAAGGTTATCTATTTTTCAATATTTATAGCTGTAAACGTTTATGGCTATAAATGCATCACTGAGACTTAACTTGGTATCATTGTTACCTGTTTAATATGAAGAAATTATTAATAATTAATTTTAATTATGTATGTATGTATGTATGTATCGAAGATTCAATAGGTATTTAAATCATCATTAATCTAGTCAAATCCAATTTATTCATACATTTTACATTTACAATATTTAAGAACTAACTAAACAAAGTTTGTGTAGGGAATATTTAATATATTTTCAAATAAATTTCAAATTAAGTTTTTAACATTGTTTAAATATAGAAATACCAAAATACAAACACACAAAGAATGTTCAACATAGATAATAGTAACTTCTGATCAAAAAGATAGGCACTTTGTGATTTTGAAGAAGGGTAAATATTGTTTTTACTAAATTAATATATATGCTTATTAAATCAAAATAACAAAACATTAGGTAAATATTTCTATTTTTTAAATTTATTTACAGGTTAGAGCCCATTAAAACATAATATAGAACATATCATAGTCAATAAATAGTAATAAAAATCTAACATCCAAACCTCACATATACTTAACTAGTTACAAAATTATGATGGAGAAATAATCCATTCTACATTTAGTCAATTAGCAGATCTTGTCACTCTAGGAATAAAATAATGAGAACAATAATTTGTTATATGGAAAGGTTGTGAGAATGTATTTAACATTCCTAGTTAATCTAGTTGTAGTTGTTCTACACAAATATTTAAACTTAATTTTTTAAAGATTGTTTCTGTGTAATACTTTTTTATGTATGTAGTAATTGGGTTGTATATCTTGGGACCAAATTATAGTTTTCAAATTATTAATAGTTTTGCGTTTTTTTAAAGAGTAATGTCATACAATACACTGCAAAAATTCTCAAAACAGTTAAATATGCTTTTTTTATAAATAATTATCCCTTACAAATGAAATTATTGAACTGATTTCACAAGAAAGTGTGCACTGCAGTTCTGAGTTTGTTATTATGAAATTTCTTGGCATAAATTGAAAATTACAGTAGAACCCCCGGATTATCAAAATGTCCGGATTTTCTAAAAGAACCAAAAAAATGTTGTTTGAGTTCATAACAAAAAGAAAATCTGCTAAAACTGTTATTAATTCACTTTTGTCGTTAAATACTTGAGCAGATAAAACCCGAGGGGGAAACCACTAAGGTCAAAATGTACCCGTATTTAGGAAATCACCTAAAAAAAATTTTTGTTATTTCGTTGATTTTGCTGAAAATTCACCTTAATTTTATACTATTTCCTTATCTTTTGATTTACAAATTGATATCAGATTGATTTTGACCATGATTTTCGATGATGATTTTGGAATTGTCCTGGTGATTTCAGTGATTTCGAGTGAAAACGTACCAGTATTTCGGGAGTAGTGTTTACACCTCAATAAAACCATTAAAATATGAACTTATGATGTATTTTAATTAAAGAATGTACATACATTATATAATGTACAATATGTTACAGAATAATGTAATTTATACATTGTCAAAGCTCTTAAAAAATATGTTATTAATTTTTGAACTGCAGTAGTGGTTTGCTTTTTTGTATATCTACGGTCTATATTTTTGACGCCCCGATTATCGACTCAATACTGTAAGGGCAGATCTTTTCACCTCTGAGTAAAGTTACATGTAGGTTTATTTGACAAATTATAAGCAATGGCCCTATAGTTTAATCAGCAAGTAGTTACTTTCAACTTTAGGTGAAAAGACTGGCCCTAAATATGTTTTTTTGAAGTTTATCTGATATTTGTATTCATAATTTTTTGTTTATGTATCCATTTAATTTTTCTCATTTTCAATTTTGCGAGACATGGATGACTTTTGTTAAGGAAATAGTGGTTGATGTTCGGACACAACTAAATAATACTCTTCTCCTCAATTTTGTCATTAATGTCATTAATCTCCTATTAAAATGATACAGGGAACTCACTGGACGATATTAGTTTGTTTATACCTAGATCACTATTAATACTAACGAACCCCACGGTTCGTAGACAATACGGTGGTCTCGTCCGGTTACTAGGTTTGGGGGGAGTGACGTCACAGAATGAAAAATCGAGGTGACAGAAAATATAGTGAATGATAATTGTATGAAATTTATTCTTGTAATCTCTATTTTTTATATTGAAATCAAAACCCTCTAATAGTAGAAAGAATATTTTGTTATTATAATAATTGTTAATTTGTTCCTGTTCATGTTAACATTACACACTTAAGCAAAAGTTTGCAGTTTTTTATTGACGGAGCTAGTTTTAAATCCGAAAATTCGAGCTGTGGCCAGTCTAAGAACTGGTGATGAGGATGTATAAAAATAAAAATATAACCACCACTAAATAACAATAAAATATTAGATTTAAAAAAAAATAATGTTCGAACCCTAGTAGAACATTTTTGGTCAACTCACTTTTTCATTCTGTGTCGTTGCTCTGTCCTCAGCAACCGGGACGAGGCTACCGTTTCAGTCTATGAACCACGAGCAAACCTACGAAAATCTTCATAAGCAAACCCCATATCAAACATCTTAATGTATATTTTAACATTAAGTTACTGGCTGTTTTCAATTTAACCAACTTCATTAGAATTCTACTTCTTCAAATTACTGTATATTTATCAGACACGGCATACATTAATTCTACTTCTTCAAATTACTGCATATTTATCAGACAAGGCATAAATGCTCTTCTTTATCCAATAACACGTTATTGATTTTTTAAGCCAATTTAAGCCTTGATGGATCAAAATTTCTAAAATTTAGTTTAATTAACCCTTTCACTGCGGCAAGCGCACATGCGGCCTGGTTGAGCTATATGCAGATGGCACACTTGCGTGTCCTGTGTATCGCTAAATATAATGATCTCGTTTGAATACTGTAGTTAAGGTAAGTCTACAAAATGTTGTCCGCAGTTATATGACCTATAATAAATTATGCAACCATCGTTTCTTGTGAAGTTTTGCTAAACAGTTCCTAGATGGCATAGATAAAGCATTTCTTAGATATAATTATGTTATTCATCATGTTCAGTTGTGTTGGATAATTGGCTTAAAACTATGCATTTAAAAAATCCAAAAAAAAAAGTTATCAGTTGAAGAAAATATGGATTTTTTATACGATTCAGAAAAAAAGTTTACTAAAGAATAATGCGAAAAAAAAATAGCTTAAAAATAACAGAAATATATTATAATATAGATAAAAAAGTTAAATAGGCAGAAATTAGTCAAAATATATTTTTATTTCGAAAAATCTCAAAAACTGGTTGAATTGCGGAAAACAAACGTTTTGAATTTCAAGTTTTAAAAAATGACGCTAAATAGCCTAAAAATAATATAAATTTATTACAATATAGATTAAAAAGCTAATTAGGCAGAAATTAGTTCAAAAATATTTTCTATTTCGAAAAATCTTAAAAATTGGTTGAATTACGGAAAACAGACGTTTTAAATTTTAAGCTTTAAAAAATGACTCTAAATATGTTTAAAATAACAGAAGTTCATTATAAAATAAATGGAAAAGCTAGATAGCCCAAAACTAGTTAAAAAATATTTTTAATTTCAAAACATCTCATAAACTAGTTGAATTACGGAAAACAAACGTTTTGAATTTCAAGTTTTAAAAAATGACCCTAAATTTCTTAAAAATAACAGAAATTTAATATAATATAGATGAAAAAGATAATTAGGAAGAAATTACTTCAAAAATACTTTCTATTTCAAAAAATCTCAAAAACAGGTTGAATTACGGAAAACAAATGTTTTAAATTTCAAGTTTTAAAAAATGACTAAATATGTTTAAAATAACATAAATTTATTATAAAATAGATAAAAAAGCTACATAGGCAGAAATTAGTACAACTATATTTTTTATTTCGAAAAATCTCAAAAACTGGTTGAATTACGGAAAACAATAAATGGTTTGAATTTCAAGATTTAAAAATGACACTCAATAGCTTAAAAATAACAGAAATGTATTACAATATAGACGAAAAAGCTAATTAGGAAGAAATTAGTTCAAAAATATTTTCTATTTCGAAAAATTTTAAAAACTAGTTGAATTACGGAAAACAAACGTTTTGAATTTCAAGTTTTAAAAAATTGCGCTTAATAGTTTAAAAATTATAGAAATTTATTATAATAGGTCTTTTCCTTTGCATCGAAAGTGTTGCACTGAGATACGCTACTTCTGAAAATATCGTTCTATCCATACAATTTGTATTAATGGAACAATATTTTCAGAAGTGGTGTAGCTTGGTGCTACACTTTCGATGCAAAGGCTAATTAGGAAGGAATAAATCCAAAAATACTTTCTATTATAACTCATATCCAAATATTATTTTTACAAAATATCGATAATTTTCATCTGTAGGTATAGGGAATTCCTAATAAAAATGAAAAGCTTTTTTCAGAGGAATCTACTGGTTATAAAAAATATAGGGTGTCCCAATTAAATAAAATATGAAAATCAAGGGTCCGAGTCTTGAGTCACCCTGTATATTAATAAGCATATAATGAATACAGAATACTAAAGAAAAGTGTAATACAATATTAAAAATCTTGTGTAGGTAAAAAACTATTTTTTCCACACTATGTATTGGGATCTATGACGTTGATTTCTTACGATTTTTATACAAAAGTGCCAATTACTTTTAGAGTACCTTATAGAACCTAGACACCATATATTAGAAGAATTAAAAAAAAATTAATCTAAATCTAAAATATTAAACTAATATTTTGGTTTAAAAAACATGTTTGGCTCGTACCTGAGTCATGCTACACCCTGTATAACTCTATTATTTTAAAATGTGGCCCCCAAGCCACCCTACAACAAGGACGATATAGATTAGATACGATTAATATGTTCACCTGCAGCAGAGTTGAGTCGGATACAGGAAAAAAGTATCAGAGTACCGGATACGGATACTTACAATGTATCCGGATACTTTTTAGGATACTTTCATCTAAAAAGTACTCGGATACAAGCATCCGGATACTTTTTTCGGATACTTTAAAGGATACTTTTAAACTGAGTTAAAATAATGTTTTCATACCAAGTTATAATTATGCAATAAGATTAATTATGAGTAACAATAAACAATACTAGGCATAAATAAATTATCGAAAATGGAAAGCGATATAATAGAAACAGGAAAAAGACTACACAATAAATTGTTTATTATTTTTATTCTGTGAATATAAAACATCAAAACAAAATTAACAATAAAACATAAAGGTGCGTATAAATAAAACGAGTCGCGCCTGAACCGCGCCAAAAACCAGCCAGTGTCGTGTCCATATAAATCTAACGAAATAAGCTCGTTGTTGGCGCGACTTGCCATGTTTATACAACCTTTCGATATTTTTAACAGTGTCAGATGTATTCGACAATCCATTTTTTGTGGATCCTCCGACGAGAGCGTCGAAAGGAGGAGTGAGAGATTGCTGAATGTTTCGTTCTGGCATAGGCAAAGCAGGCTTGCATATTTGATCTTGTCAGATCTGTATACTTTATTGATGACAGAAAGTTGAGTTATATTGCACTATATAAAAACACAGGAACAACCGTCTCTTGTCTTTGCCAACTGAAACATAACTGCGCTAATGGAACCTCCACAAATTCGTGACGCTAACACCGGACAAGAGTTTTCAGAATTTTTCCTGTAAAAACGTGCCGCAAGATGCTAAATCCCGACCGTCTATATACTGGGTGAATCGTCGAATTCATCCTTGGCAATGAGACATTTTTTTTTGTCTTATTTTAAATTTTAGAGGGTGCCCCAAACCAAACTACAAATCATAATAAAATAATTATTTTACTATTTTTTATTTAAGTAGATACCTATTGCAATTGTGTCTTAAATATTGTAATATTGAAAAATACTTATTTTATTTCTAATTATACAGGGTAGCTCAAAGTATATTATTATATATTTTAATAAAGATAATATGGATTGGATCAGTTACGATAGAGGTAAATAATTTAAAAGTATCCGAAGGCCGAAAAAAGTATCCAGTATCCGGATACTTACAAATTTGGTCACGGATACGGATACCGGATACAAAATTTGAAAAGTATTCGGATACAGCTTTCAGATACACATAAAGTATCCGGATACTGTACTACCCAACTCTGACCTGCAGTAAAATTTACAAATTTACGCTATTTTAGTGATTTTGTAATTATGGTTCTAGCCCAAGAGCCTGTTGCACATTTTTACCGTCATTTGATAACGAAATGAAATATACCCCAAGAGCATGTAAAAACATTGTACTTTACCAAATGGCACCTGTGCCAATCCCAATCCTGAGCAGAGTGGCTTAAAATTATTTTATTTTAAAAAAATCACATAAAGCATGACAGCGCTAATTTTGTTTGCCCTTAAAGTATTGCAGAAAATAACATTCAAATATATCTTGATATATATCGTTAAAGGGAAACATTTTTTTCCCTTAACATCACACAAAAACATCTATCCACGATTGATAGGTAAAAATCATTAAAAATATGAATCCATTTTTGCTGATTTAAAAATTTATTTGTATTCCTATTGTTGTGATTCATTTTTACAGGTTGTCATGGAAACGACAAAAAAATAACTGATTATGGTTTAAAAGAATTGTCTAACAAGAGTTTATAATTATTATTGACTATCTCTGCAAATGGTCTATACAATGCCATTCTTCTTCCTTTTACACATAAACATGGTTTAAAAGGTAGGTAAAAATATTAATAATTCAGGTTTAAAAGGTATGTTTAAACTATTTTTTATGATCTGTAAAAAATGTTTAGAAAAAAACTAAAAACAGTAAAAACGTATGTCATTTTTATTGATGTTTTTGTTAAAAGTTTGATTAGAACTAAATGTCAGTGGAACCAAAATGACATCACACTAAACTGGCATATTCCTTGAACATATAAGGTACAAAAGCTTCATATATGTGTCAGTTTGATACTGAAATTAAAAACGTCCGCAATAGTCAGATAACCAACTGGATCAAAAATACAATAACTAACCACTGAAATTAGCTGCACAATATATTCGCCTTCTGAGTATAATATTTGGCAACTGTGTAATAATGTTTAGTTACTCTATCGGCCAGTTTTGAGCGGAAATAATAGTCAATAACAGTTTTTTAAAACCAATTTTCTTATAAATGCCTAATTAAAAAACTAAAGAACTTTATTGATTGTTTCTACATAAATAGGATTAAAAATTCCGATACATTGTTACAGCCATTGGAAATGTATAAGTAACAGTATTTTTATGGTGACAGATCCCTTTTAATAAGCTTCACATAAAATGATATCAAACGTCAAAAACCTTTCAATGGATTTATAGAAAAAAAAATATATTTAAATACTACCCCAAATATGTTGAAAAACACCGTTTTGGAAGTGGCATTTCAATTTGCAAGGAATTTGTATATGGTGGTCAATTATATAAATATGCTATTGTTATTGTTTTAGGTGTCATGTATTGTAAATGTAAATATGAATAAATTTAGCAAAAAGTTTTTAAAATAAGTGAATTCTTATTATAAATTTATAGATACCAATAGATATACTACTTATTTGTTATGTCAAGAATATTGATTGATTCATTTTGAAATAAATATTGGTAAATATTGCCAATTTTTGAAAACTATTAAATATATATTTTCCCAAAATAATGAACCCCATTCAAATAAATAGCTGTGCTTCCTTGACTTTTACTGTATCTAAATCATATTAATTTATAAGACAATCTACTATAATTCAGGCACAGATAAATCTCTCAGCCGATCGTGTCAATCCACCGACAACAAATGCAGGAACAACTCCAGAAGATCCAAACACATCAACCACTGCTACAACAGCAGCAGCTGCTCCATCAACAAATACCACTTCTGCAGCCACTACAAATTCAAATGCTATGCCAACAAATAGACCTACAATATCTGTTCAGCCTGGATTTGTTGGTGTGCCATTTTTGCCAAGTGCAGCCATGAGAGTGCAATCGTTTCCTGTAGAAATTCGCAGTGTACGACCTTTGATCCCACCTAGAACACAAAGTACTACTTCAGATACTACTAGTACAGCACCTCCCACAAATGCACCAGAAAACAATACCAATTCTAGTAGCAGTGCTGCTGGCAATGGGACTACGAATGCTCAAGATAATCCACAAGGTGCTCCATTCAACTTCAACAATCCGAATGTCGAGTTCTTTATGGAAGTCACCCCTGAAGGTATTACAATTGATTCTTTGGAGACAACGCTTGTTGGTTCTTCTAATCAAGCAAATGATTGTAAGTGTTGTGTTTGTCTTGCTAATTGGGTATGTCTTGCTAATTGGGTATATGGCATCATGAGTAGTACCAGTTTTTAAGTAGAGTTAGATAATATAATAAGGGCCATTCACATTACTGTTTGTTAAGGGATAAGTGGAGCTGTTATAATTAGTAACTGAACAGCGAATTTTTGAGATTTAAAAAGTTAACAAAAAGAATATTGACAGTGAGTGTCACAGACATATCAAATTTATTTATATATTTATTTATAGGTCAGATTCCATTTAAATAATACAATAAGAAATATCAATCATTAAACTAAATTCTATCGGAGAAATAAGCAATTCTATGTTTAGTCGATTAGCAGATCTTATCACTCTAAGAATAAAAGAAGAGAATCATAGTATGTTCAATAGAAAGTTTGTGAGAATAACATGCATTAGCATTCCTAGTCACTCAAGAGGGTACACAAAATCCAATTTGGGACAAGTAGAGACAATTTGCATATAAATTAATAATATATAAGTACATGTATGTCCTAGATACATTGTGAAGATTTGTGACTTATTTTCTTACAGTTGAATTTATTATTAAAGTGTACTATGATACTTTTCCAATGAATTCACGAAAGCGCAATACTCAGACCAGGGCGCTTATCTAGTCATTACAAGTGGTATGTGCCTCTCAAAAACTTGACTTATTTTCTTAACATTTTTGTTATGGTCATTCGACAATAAGTACCCAACTACAAGAAATATTAAACTCTCCACCAATATAGGTGGGCCATTTTTTCTCTCCAACGTTTTAGTGTGTGAGTGGGCATGCAGGTGACTTATTTTCTTATGGCTGACTTTTGGTTTATTTAGAAGTTTTTGTTATGTGTTCCACAAAATTCATCTCCCCTATCAGTTTGACTGGGCCATTTTTTCTCTCCCAACATTTTAAAGTGGTGCACGAGGGGGTATGCATGTGACTTATTTTCTTATAGCTGAATTTTTTATTAAAGTACTATGATATGTGTCCAACAAATTTCCATTAAATTTTCACTAGTAATACCACTAGAGGTCAAATTATTTCCTGATATTAATTTGACCTCGCGTGGTATCACGCCGAATTATGGTTGAAAATTAAATATTTTTAAAATTTATTTTTCGTTTCTCAACAATGCAAATTATTTTCTCCAAGTCACCAGTGAAACATAAAAGGTGTTGTCGCCTTGATTGTTGAGTTGTCATGGTAACTAAGTGAGACCCTAACCTCTAATATAATTTCAGTTTTGAAGTTGTCAAGCGGCCCGACGTAAAAAAATGTTTCGCTGCAATTATTTAGGCCTTCAAATTGCTTATTTCTACTCATTGTAGTTGCATGGGAATACCATTTGAAAATAGAAAATAGTATATTCTTTAATTTTACGTAAGTTTTGAATAACTACAAGTGGTAGAAAATGGTTTTTCTGCGTTTTTATTAACATGCGTTATGAGCGCTTTAAAATGGTATGAAATTCATAACCAGCGTCAGCAAGCATCAATCGTAGGAGGCTGTGATCATTGTATTTTGACAGTTCAAAACATTAAATAACTCGCGTTTTGTTGCGATAAAGAATATTGCACAGCAAGTAAAACCAACAAAATTACCTATTTGTTTAAAAATGAATCGATTTGAAAATCATACGCTATGCAAAATATGCGTGAAATTGTCTGATGTAATGATCAATCATTGCACCATGACTTACTTACTCGGATTAATAGAGGATTGTGGCTCCAACTTGAAAAACGAAAATTTGTTCCGAATTGTCCACGAATATTTGCACCTAAACTACGCAAAATTCAAAGTGCTGAATGGGAAAAAGGTGAATAAATTAGTGTCTAAATATTATATATATTTTATTAGACATAGACACATAATTCAAAGCATCCAAAGTCCTGCATTTTCGCCATTAAGAAGAAAAGAAGTGGCCGAAGAATATAGAAAACACCTTAGCATTGTAACTAAAATGTATCAAAACTAAACCTATTATGTGAACAAATAAAAACCAGTCTGTCAAAAATGGTCTGTTATTGTAAACGTCAAAAAATTTCCAGTATAATTCGCTGTTGGGTACCCCACGAGAAAAAAATTTCCACTAAAATACCTCCGTTACCATGGTGATCTGTCAAAAACACGTATTTTGATTGGTTCAAAATTACAGGTGTGGAATTTTCATATTAATTCATATACCAGAGTCACGGCAGATACTAGCTCATGTATTGATCACATATTCGTAAAAAATAGTATGCCGAGTAAAAATTATTCATTCCAATTACTAGTAATCGACACAGATCTGACTGATCATTTTCCAATTTTCATGAACATTACAACAAATGAGACAAACGCTTGGTCTAATACATCAAACCAACATACAATTCAATACACTGATACAGATATGGCTTATCAATTTTTAAACAATATCCTCTTTAAAAGAACAATGTAACATTACTTAAAGGTGTAATACTTATAAAAAAAATAAAACCTTGGATAAGTCAAGATATCATAATGTCTATCAAACATAGGGATAAAATGAAAAAACAAATCTTAAAAACTAAAAATAATCTTCTCATTGAGTATCGTAAATATCGTAACCAACTAAACTAAATAATAAATACAACTAAAAATGACTAATATACAGTCCAAATTCAAAACAGCAATAATGACATCAAAAAAATTTACCACGTAGTCAAAGAAGCTTCAAATGAACACTTAAACAATAAAACAAATAATGATATAAATTTTCTTAATAATTAAAAATTCACAAACATCAAAAAAGTGGCTAATTACTGCAATAATTATTGTTCACAGATTGATATAGATATTGCAAGCAAAATCACCAGCTCTCAAAATGACTTTCAAATAAAATTACCCCCCTTAATTAACTCAATGGCTTTAAAATCTGTCAGTCAAAATGAATTAATCGAACATATAAACTCACTGAAAAATTGCCACCAGCTCATTATAAAGCCTCTAATGCACATTAGAAATCTAATCTTTGCAGCAGGAAACATACCAAAATAATTTAAAACTTCAATTGTAACCCCAATTTTTAAAAAAAGGATATATCAAATTACAGACCAATAAGCTTGATAACAAATTTTGCAAAACTATTTAAAAAATGTCTAAAAATAGATTATATGACTAATTCATAAGATCTTAAATGTTAAACAGTATGGCTTCCAAAAAGGTATTAGCACTTGGGATGCTATGTACGAATTAATATCCAACATTAAAAACAATCTTGATAATGAAAATAAAATTATAAGTGTTTTTATCGGCTTAGCAAAGGCGTTTAACACTGTTCCTCATAAACAGCAATTGAATGTTGCAATTATGGCATACGAGGACATGTTTTAAAGGTTTTTGAAAACTACCCCATAAGAAATGAGCTTAGTAATCCGATTAACATTAAAATAGGTGTGCCACAAGGAACAGTCCTGGGTCCTATTCTTTTTATCATTTATATAAACTCTCTTTTAAATTTCAAAATAAGTGGTGTCTCAATATCCTATGCAGATGATACCGTGTTAATATTTGAAGGTAAAACCTGGGAGGCGGTAAAATTAAAAGTGCAAAATGGGACAAAAATTATAAAAGCCTGACTGGATTATAATAAGTTGTCTTTAAATGTATTGAAAACAGTATACATAGCATTCTTCCTAACTGATGCAAATAGGCCAAATTTTAAACACATTTGCATTGAGGAACCCAAATTCATTATCAAGAAAGTAGAAAATACAAAGTATGTGGGTATAATAGTAGATAAAAATTTAAAATGTATAATAATTAACAAACAAAATTGGAAGATTTATACATAAATTCTATTTAAAAGAAAAGAATGCTAAAACCTTTTTACAAATATGATGAAAATAAGAGATTCATTTCTGTAATAGGCCAAAAAATATTCAACACTTGAACAGATTACATCAGACAAATTAAGAATATAAAAACCTTTACTAAAGCAGTGAAAAAAATTGTAAGCAATAACTTCATACTGAAAAATTAAATTTTTTTTCATTTTGTGAAATTTCTCGAATACGGACCATTTTAGGAAAATTTTGTATAGAGTGTTTTTAAGATTTCTTGAAAATACCTATATTTGTTATAATTGTATTAATAATTTAATCAATAAAAGTGAATAATTAAAAATAAGCTGTTTATCTTATGGGAGCCAATTTTTTCTAAAGGAATACTGCCGATTTCACCATCATATATTGTCATAGGCTAAATATTTATTAGTGGAATGTTTCTGTGCTTTATGTATAAATAAAACTAATAGCATGTTTTTATGAATAGAATAATGTCCTTTTTTTAGGATTTACTATCACTTCGACTAGAAAACATTTAATTTCAGTAATCAATCATTTTAACCCTTTCAGACACGAATTTTTAAAAATTAATATATATTTTTTCTAATTGTTGACGATTGTTAGAAATATGTTTTTAAGATTTTTAAACTTCTCCGAATATCTGTCATAATTGACATAGTTACTTCATGTACACTGCAGTGTATGTGGTGACTGAGAGACGTGTAATTGACAAAAACCTCTATATTACATATTTCATAAATTCCTTTTATCCAACAGATCTTTTCTTATTCTGTCATATTTTCTATCACATTGCAAGTGACTATTTGCAATGTCTCATTGCTGCCTAGCAAGTAGGCATTTCTGGCCTTACATACCATGTATCCAGAAGTCAGTTCAATAAGCGGCACTTCTTCTGATTCTTCAGAAGTATCAGCTGCCAATGCTTCATTATCATCTTAAAAGAAAAAATTAATATTACATATTTATTCCTAAACAACCAGAAATAATCTCCACTTCCCCCTACTTTGAATCTCAGGATCTTCTTAGTAAACATTCTCTTATATATCTAGTTCGTCTAACTCGAGAACCATTGAGAATGTTAAATAAATTATTTTCATTTAACGGTTTTTTTTTTTTTTCAATAGTGCATGTCAGTCATAATGTATACTGTAGTGTACATAG